TTTTGGCTCTAATTGTTTTTAATTGAGTTTGAAGTGTTTTTCGGTCAGTCTGGGGTCCAATTAGTCGGAAAAGTCCAAAACTTGAGCCAAATCGAGTCATTGGGCCGAGGTTGGTGAGTTGCCGTTTTCGGTCGCTAGGGCCTATACAGGAGACAATGGAAATACGTTTTCCGGCCTAACTCCTAGGCTATGGGAGATTTTTCAGTTCTGTTTTTTCTCAAATGTCCAGCTTGCCAATGTGGATATACCCTGCAAATTTCAGCCCTGTAGCTTTGTAACTTTTCGAGAAAAAAAATTATTTGTATTTTCCCACTATGCGAGCTGAAGACCATAGAAACAAAAAAATTCGCATTTTTGTCTCTAATTGTTTTTAATTGAGTTTGAAGAGTTTTCCGGTCAGTCTGGGGTCCATTTAGTCCAAAAAGTCCAAAACTTGAGCCAAATCGAGTCATTGGGCCGAGGTTGGTGAGTTGCCGTTTTCGGTCGCTAGGGCCTATACAGGAGACAATGGAAATACGTTTTCCGGCCTAACTCCTAGGCTATGGGAGATTTTTCAGTTCTGTTTTTTCTCAAATGTCCAGCTTGCCAATGTGGATATACCCTGCAAATTTCAGCCCTGTAGCTTTGTAACTTTTCGAGAAAAAAAATTATTTGTATTTTCCCACTATGCGAGCAGAAGACCATAGAAACAAAAAAATTCGCATTTTTGGCTCTAATTGTTTTTAATTGAGTTTGAAGTGTTTTTCGGTCAGTCTGGGGTCCAATTAGTCGGAAAAGTCCAAAACTTGAGCCAAATCGAGTCATTGGGCCGAGGTTGGTGAGTTGCCGTTTTCGGTCGCTAGGGCCTATACAGGAGACAATGGAAATACGTTTTCCGGCCTAACTCCTAGGCTAAGGGAGATTTTTCAGTTCTTCGAGAAAAAAAATTATTTGTATTTTCCCACTATGCGAGCAGAAGACCATAGAAACAAAAAAATTCGCATTTTTGTCTCTAATTGTTTTTAATTGAGTTTGAAGAGTTTTCCGGTCAGTCTGGGGTCCATTTAGTCGGAAAAGTCCAAAACTTGAGCCAAATCGAGTCATTGGGCCGAGGTTGGTGAGTTGCCGTTTTCGGTCGCTAGGGCCTATACAGGAGACAATGGAAATACGTTTTCCGGCCTAACTCCTAGGCTATGGGAGATTTTTCAGTTCTGTTTTTTCTCAAATATCCAGCTTGCCAATGTGGATATACCCCGACTATGCGAGCAGAAGACCACTGGAGATGGTATGGTAGATTTTTTCCCAAATGTTCAATAGTCAAAGTGGATATACCCTGCAAATTTCACCCTTGTAGCTTTGTAATTGTTTGAGAAATTTATTTTTATTTGAACACTTTTAGTGCATATGTCACATGAAACTAAAATTTCTATATTTTTCTCTAACTGTTTTTAATCTATTAGTAGGAAAAGTACAAAGCGGACAATGGACCACATTTCCTAACCTAATTCTTAGCCTATAGCAGATATTTAAGTTCTCTTTTTCTCCAGATAGACAACGTGGATATACCCTTTAAGCATTATGAGCACTTTCAGTGCAGAAGTCTCTTTGAAGAAAAATGTCCATATTTTGTGTAATATTCTTTGATTAGGTTTTAAGTGTTTTTCCAAGTGTCATGGTTCTAATTAGTAGGAAAAGTTCAAAACTTAAACTAAATAGGGTTATTTGGCTAAGTCGGGAAATTGACGTTTTCGGTCTATAATTAAAGTCTATAAGCACACTTTTTATTTTCAATTAAAAACTTTTTAATCTAAAAGTGAACGAATTATCACCTAATTTTCAACGAGGAGAAATAATTATCACCTAGGTTTTTAATTCAATAAAAAGTGAAATATGTCGTATGTGAGTTATCGTATAAAAGAGACTCAAAAAACAATAAATAAAATTTTATTAAAAGTCAAAAATTACAGATATTTGTAAAAGTCTGGTATAAACGGTTCCCGCACTTTCTTCCAGTTCCACAATTGAAATAATCTACCGTCACATTTCTGTATCTGTAACTTACTACCATCTTTAGATAATCCTATACACTGTCCTGTTACTCTGTTAATAATCTTTTTATCCTGAAATATACACACATGGATACAATTAATTAAAGAGAGTATTTATCATAGTGTTCTAAACATTTTTTATTTAGTTTGACCAGTCCTTTTGCGATGTAAAAGAAGCCTACAAAACATTCAGCAAGGCAATTTTCGATAGATAAATTGGTCACAGTAATTTGTTCACAAAGTAAATTGGTCACAGTAATTTGTTCACAAAGTAAATTGGTCACAGTAATTTGTTCACAAAGTAAATTGGTCACAGTAATCTGTTCACGAGGTATATTTGTCACAGTAATAAGTTCAAAAGGTAAATTTGTCACAGTAATTAGTTCACAGGCTAAATTCGTCAAAGTTTTTAGAAGTCGGCAATTCTTGCAAGAGCGTTATCGAAACTTTCACCGTTTGGGTGATTTGATCACTTGATCAAATAACTGTGACCCAGTTTACCTTGTGGTTAATTCACTGTGACACAATTTATCTTGTGACCATTTTATCTTGTGACTAATTTCCATTGTGGTGATATTGCCTTGTGACCAAATCACTTTGTAACCAAATTGCTTTCTCACAATGTTACTGGGACCAATATACCTTGTGACCATATCAATGTGACAAATTCAACTTTTCATTCTAACCAAATTCTGATGCTAAAGATTTTCAAAGATCATGTGGCATTCACTCTACATACATGATATTTCCAATTTTGTGCATCATAGCCCCCACAAGACTCAGTTTTAAACGCACCACCACTTAGATCTACACATAAGTCTCTCATTCTGATCTGCATAGATTCGGTATAATCCCATTGCTAAAATATAAAATAAAGACGATAATTTGTATTTAGCAGCGAACTTCAAGTTTCCGCCTATCAGGTTGGGGAAGAAAAATCCATCGACGGTTGGAAATCGAAATACAATACTGCATCTGTTCTAGGCAACATCCAACTTCACCGAAAACGATACATAATCGAATCAAAAACACAACCAGAAGTTATTAATGGCGCGTAAATTTTATATCTAACAAAACTACTAAATTAGTTCTCGTCATCTTAGAACATCTTCACTTTGTCTCATATTTGTACATCTTAGAGCACTTTTAATGTGTTAAGGAGAAGTTTGTAAATGCAAGTATTTTATTGGATTGTAGGTTAGTGAATATATTCAATCAGAGCCCTCTAATGTATATAGACTGTAACTTGTAACCTTAGTAGAGGGCTTTGGTTGTCAGTGGTGTTTCTAGGAAACATTAGGTAACGGTGTCGCGTAGGGACCACAACATTTTCCTAGAAGGGCACATGCAGACCCGTCAATATGTAAAATGATAAATGATTTGAAAGTTGGGGAGGGGGCCTGGTCTACGCGTACAATCCAAATCGCAGCATTTACTTGAAATTGCGAAGATGATTGACCTACTGACCTGGTTTTCTTCACCATGACAAGGGTATGGTAGTATTGGCTCACTGCGTTTTAATTTACCACCATCTATACATATATTAGGCTCTGCAACACTTTGTATCTACAAATACAATAGTTCCTATGTTAATTTTGGATAATTAATTTAAGACGGATAATGTTACATTTATAATTTGCGACCAAAAGCAACATATTTTCTAGTAAATTTCAAATAGTACAATAAGCAACATAGTTCATAGTGAATAAACTAACAAATACTACATGTATAATGTAAAAAGTATAGTTTGTAGTATATTTGCATCTCCATAATTGTATAAGCAACATAGTTTGAAGTTTAGAAACTTAAATTATCATATTTTATAAGAAGCATAGTTTTCAGTAAATTTACATTTCCATGCTACTATAAGCAAAACATAATATCAGTAAATGTTCATGTCTATGTTTCCATAAACATCATAGTCTGAAGTTAAGAACTTAAATATCATAATATTATTACATGGAGTATACACGTAGTTTCATATTATCAAACCTTTAAACGTATATTTCCATATAAAAAAAACATAGTTTCACATTAGCAAACTTACGTTCCCATAATGTACACCACTTCCAGGAAAATACATTTCAGGAAAAATATTCCTTCTATACCATTCAAAATCATTACACTGTAATTTTTCACGTAACTTGACTCTTTCAGAAATATCACCAAAAGGCTGCAAGATTGAATCATATAGATTAGATTAATTGTACTTCAAACATTCATTCATTTTCCGTTCATTTTTATTCAATTAACTAAAATTTCATGCAATTTATTAAAATTTCATTCAATTTATTAAAATTCCATTCAATTTATTAAAATTTCATTCAATTTATTAAAATTTCATTCAATTTATTAAAATTTCATTCGATTTATTCATGTTCAGTTCATTTTATGCATGTTCAGTTCATTTTATGCATTTCATTGGGGGCAATGACAGGTGCTTCCCTAACGAGCCGATTCTCCATGAGCAATGTTCCATTCTCTAAATACGCCACGTATTTAAAACTGCACACCATTTCACTGCTCCCAGAAAGTGGAAATACTCACATCCATGTTTCCTTTTTGGTTGACAAATTTATACTTATAATCATCGAACCAAACATTGGCCACTCTTCCAAGATTTCGTAACATTTCGTGATAACCACCAATATAAGGTAGCCGCTTCCTGAAGATGTGGGCAACGTGAGAACATGGAGAAAGTAAGAGACTGCCCCCACACATCCAAATCTATAAGTAGAAAATAAATAGAAAGCGTTGCACAAAAATAGATATAAACGGTATAATTATAAAAGATAACCCGAATTGATTCATACACCAGACAATTGTCTTCATACATGGACAGAGTAATCTTATCCATAAATGGGGCCATTTGAATTCATACACGGGCGAGCAATCTATAATAGACTGGCCGAATAATCTTTCTATTTACGACCATACCGAGTAATCTAGTTATAGACGGGCCAATCCTCTGGTACCCAGGCGAAATATCTCGTACCTTTACTGAGAGCTCAATACGTACCTTAACAGAAATTTCGATATTCTCACCACCCCAAATATCTAACTGGTTATCATAAGTACCAATGTGATTGAAAAATACTTTACTGATGCTGAATAATCCTCCTGCCATTGCTGGCGACCTGAAATGATTTCAGAACTTAAAAATATAACAATACAATTTGAGTTGTAGCCATGGGGCATTTCCTCTTTCTCATCCGGCATCTGAGGTTTCTATAATTCCAGAAAATACATACCACCACTTATTCAAATGTCAGTCAGAAGCTATGCCATAATTATGTAAAGGGTTGTAAAGAGGTTTTGTAAATTGGGGACATTGATTGCATCTATTTGCACCATTTCAATTTTCTTTCAAACGTCTGTGGTTTTTCTTGATATAACAATAATATCTTAGATTTTGAACTCATAAAACGCTCAAAGAAACAGCCCTCCCAATACAATTTTCAATTAAAATTATCTCTATTCAACACAGCTCCCTTGACCAGCCACCAGTTCCTAGATCGTCAAATTGTGTCCAATTGCCGTCCAGTGTTCAATTCGCTAAGAAGAATTTAGGTGTACCTACTGGATATTGTCTGCAGGTGATTTTCGAGCTCTGTCAATTCTTTCTGGTGTTTTCATCCAGAAAAACCGAAGTGCGGGGAATTTAAAAATACCGACTTGCTCTGCTTGATCAGTATCTACAGCAAATGTTGTAGAATCTATGGTATTTATAGTTGGCATGGTAACCGTTCTTGGATTCTTCATGATTGGTTCCAACAATGGCTCCAACCATCCTATTAGACATACAGGAATTTGTATATGCAATGTTAAAAAAACAGTTAAAGTAAAATCGTTGTCAGTAAATCAAGATTTTTCGTACAAGGATAATTTTGTTTAAAAATTGAAATCGAGTTTGATGTCCATTTTTCTGCACTAAATTGGACTAATGAAGGCAGACATTGCCTTGGGGTAAAAAATGTGGAAATTTCCAGCTATTGCTAATTTTTTGACGTGCGCAGCCGGTAGTATACGGGGCCCCAGTTAACTGTCCTATCCTTTTATAACTTTCAATGAATTCGAAACGACAAAACAATAAATTTGTAATTGGACTCCCAGGGCCTCTGGTCACTCGAACTGCGTCCGGTGGTTTGACACCTCAGCCTGCCCCTTAGACTGACACATCTGCATCTATTTCAGCCTCTAATAGATTGATATTTTGAAAATTGCCGATTGCTAAAGCAGAGACAGAAAAACTAGGCCCTGTTTTGTGGATCTCCGAAGGTGTGTTTAAAATGGATCAGCCAAACCCAGATATTTTCGGAAAGATGGATACTTGTGTTGTTCAGTCATACCATCATGATGACTCTAAGCAAGCCTGTATATCAAAAGGTTACTTACCGTCCATACATTCAATATGAGCGTCAAGATATGTAACGATTGTAGATTTGGGTGAAGTATGATTTAAACCGAACAGCCGGGCTCGTATCAACCCCTCCCATCTTTCTGTACGTATTATTTTGACTTTAGGAAACTGGCTCATGTACTCCTCCAGTGGATCTTTAAGATGATCTGAAATTAATCAAGTCTTAATTTTTTAGTCTCTGACACCCAGTATAGAGGCCAGTTATTTTCATGCAAATAAGGGGATTTGAAAACAGAGGATCATCAATCAAACTTGCCTTATTTGCCTCCCCTACTCACAAACTTATCATTATCTAACGCAAAAAAAACCCTTTGAACTCCCTTTCACAATTCTGTGGACACTCTTTTACCCCTCTCTAGCCCACCTTATCATTCATAGGATCGCCACTCACACCTCACAGCCATTTTATATATAAGAACATTGATGCCCTGTTTTGTTTAAAGGTAATAGCAATATAATATAATACCATACGTAGAATTATCATCAACTAAAATAATTTCTTCTACGAGTCTTGGTGGAGTTCTATCTATAATACTATGTACACTTCTCAATAGTGATGTCCAAGCCTCATCGTGGAAACACATAATGATACTGGTTTTAGGTAAATCTTTAGGATACGAGATATCTTTACAACTACAAATACAGAAAATACATTGAAATGAAACTCTTCTAATGAACAGAATTTTCTAAGCACACATTGCAACATTTTCCCAATATCAAGTCTAAAACCCTGAATGTAATCGCCACCTTTTATCACGGAAATGCATACAACTATAGCCGCCGATTACACGTGAAGCTATATTGTTTTGTTTACACTTTTTTGTCGAGAGCTATATTAACTAGCTGGAAATTGTGAAAGCCAACGGTTGTGCTGAGGGATAACGTTGTTTAAACTGCCTTTTAGGAATAAATAAAGGGAACCCTTATTAACTGTATTCAATTCTACATGAGATAATGAATTTTAACCAATTTTAAAGATGGGTTCCCTTATTTTCATTTATGAAAATGAAAATGCTAATACTTATATGAATAGAAAGTAGATGTGTTCTAATGACCTGGAAAAATATCAGTTTGTCTCACATGTCTATAATTATTTCATGATTAGCTAAATTAAAGGAGAATTACCACCAGAATGCCAATGAGTGACCCGATCAAGAAAGGTCAAAAAGTTTTTTTTTGTTTATCTAGACAGTACATCTTTGGACATTTATGATTGGTTAAAACTTAATTATATGCAATAAGAACATAATGATATGATTAAGAATACATGATAATTCATTAGAAACACCAATTCATCAAAAGTTTGCTTAATTTGACACTAAACAATGAGGAAACCCATCTTTAACTCATTTTCATGAGTTGTGTACTCGTGTTCATATTTACAAAACAAACTGTATGTGAAAGATTGTTGATTAGTCAGTTTGAATAATTATTACCTTGGTCACTAATAAGAGTTCATATTGTGTGTCCATATTTATAACACCGACTGCATGAAAAAAAGTTTTGATTAGCCAGTCTTAAAATCACGTGACATCATGAACATTTATTACCTTACACCGTAATACAAGATATTTATCTTGTAAAGTGAACCCGGTAGAAATATACAATACTTTCAGAAGTGTGATGGTTATACGTACTCTTGTATTCGAGGGTCAGGTAAGTTTCTTCTGACGGACACTAGATTACCAACATATTCTTTAATAGCATATCTTACATAACCTGTATCTACTTTCTTCTGTTCTTTTTTACTCAGTCTTCTTGTATCTATACTCAATCCCTTACCATTTTCACCTAATAATATCAAACAGAGCGTTCACATTTCTCACCAATACAAGCATGACAACAAGGTCGCAGTGACTGCGCTAGTCTCCCGAGACAAGGGGTGCAAATACTTACACAACTGTCGCCGTCGGGAATCAAAATGCGACATTTTTGTGGAAGCACCCAAATCCCACAGACGCTCAGTGTCCCACATATGCCTACAAATCATCAGTTTAGAAAACCTCTTATCAATCCCTTATTATACTTCCTTTGACCTAAACGTAATTACCTATTGTGTTTAGATCCACGCCATATACTTCTTTAACCTCGGTATAATTTGGTTGAAATTTTAGAAAAGGCCAAAACATTTCTCGTCTCTTCCCCACAAAGTAGCCAACATTTTCACGCAACTGTTTTTTGCCAAGTATGATTCTTGCAAACGGTTCTTGAAACGACGGAACTGATGTGTCGATAGCCAATTTCACCACTAGCATAGTCCACACACATATAATAGTTATGCCTACTTTTAATATAAATTTACGTCGCAACATCTTGACAAGAAAATAATTCATATCGAGATCTGACGTCCACTTCAACTGCCAATGTTTACGGTCTTTAGTAGTCACAACCAACGCTTCTGCAAAGCAATGTTTCTTTCATTCCCAATTTGGTTACTTATCTTATCCATCTACATGTATAATCAACACGAATGGTGCAAATTTATTGAATAAATGTAATTCCAAGAGGTTTGGTTGATAGAGGATCCTCACTGACATAAGGTGTTATCCTTGTAAAAATAATGGTTGTTTCTTTCCTTCGTTTTTATTTGCGTTCTTCATATAGAACTCGTTTTTAATTCCCTTAGAATTTCTTCATCTGGAATTAACAGCTCCAATGGTGGTCTACATCTAATCTATAAAGCCCGCTATATCACGTAACACTTAATATATATTATGTTCGTTAAAGAAAAACTTGATATACATGCACTCAAAAAGTCGTGGCAGCCATTTTAATATTGCCCTATTCGATAATATCCGATCTATATTTTACAACATATGTAGCTTTATTGGTTTTTAAAGGACCGATTCTTATATTTAAAGTTTATCAGACATCTGTTACCTTTACAAATAATTTATAACCGTATTTTACTAAGCGCTACACATGAACCTTAACGTGGACAAAAGCTTTTTTCGATTGTGATGTCATAATCTGGTCAAGATTCGGTCAATCCCAAAAGTTAAAAATTCAGAATGAAACAAAAAAGTTTTACAACTTTAATCTTTCTATCGATGATAACATTTGGCTTGAATTTGCGAAGGTGGCGTCATGATTTTGTCAAGGTTTATTTGAATCTCAAACGATAGACGGGAATTCGGAATAAGAGCATAAGGAAAGTAAAAGTGCTTTCCCACCCCCATCATCTCTCCTCCCAAGACACCCTTCCGTCTTGCCAGACAGATTTAAAACCGATTTCAAGAAATATGCAGAACGAAGGCAACGAAAATATGGTTTAACATTCCAAAAGTTGCTTAAATTAATGCGTTCTATGAGAAAATACAACTTTTGACTATCATATAAAAAATAAAATTTTATTAAAAGACAAAAATTACAGATATTTGTAAAAGTCTGGTATAAACGGTTCCCGCACTTTCTTCCAGTTCCACAATTGAAATAATCTATAGTCACATTTCTGTATCTGTAACTTACTACCATCTTTAGATAATCCTATACACTGTCCTGTTACTCTGTTAATAATCTTTTTATCCTGAAATATACACGCACAGAACTTGATACAAAATGAAATGGAGTTTTACGTCCTTTTTTGTTTTCTGGTTTTACGGGGATAGGCAACGTTATGAGGGAAATTTTGCCACGAGAGTGGCATAAGCCTAGTCTCTTTCGGTTTCCAACTGAAGAGAGATATTGTACGTGCAACTCCTGTAGCACACGGGACCTCGGTTTGTTGTCACGTCCGAAAGACTAGAAACTGAAGGTATTATCTCGACATCATCGCAAAGGATCGGGGTCATTTGATCATTGAGAGTCACTCGGTCGATTACCTGTACCTCAGACATACCGTTGTTTATGATGGATAAAATTATCACAGTGTTTGATGCCTGGTATATTTTGGATTCTTGGGAGTTTTTTCCTTTAGTTGTTCTCCCTTTGTCACATTTGTTGGAACGTTCATCTGATCAAGCCGTCTAGACTATGTGTGTACACAAGGAGGATGTTTAAATAAATAGTAAGTCTAGCTCACTGGTCATCGCTTAATGAATTGACTTTTGAAGGCACGAATTGTGCCCCTTATTTCGTTTTCATTCATTTTTTTCCTTCGGATGTAGGTTTTGAATATCATAAAAACCCGTCAGCATTTTATCCTATATATAGAAAAGTCAACGACAGTGGTACAAGCTGTTGTGATGATGGCATATTTATCAAACAATTTCCGTTAATGTCCTTACATTTACATATTATGTTAATGACCAAATTTATTCAAGAAGACTCAGTTCGAACGACCAACTTTGAAAAGCGCAAAGGTAAGAGTTGATTTTGTTATTGATGCAAAAATACACAAATTTGTCTCCACCAGGTACAAATAAGGTTAGACAAGTTTTAAGGACAATGGCAATGTAAAGGGCTCAATAAGGAAATATGGGTGGGGAATATGCGGAAGGAAGACAACGAAATACGGCTTAACATTCTCAAAGTTACGAAAGGGAAATCTGAACCCGTGAACTAATAGAAAGTTATATCGACGGCCTACGTTTAATCTGTCGTAGACAACCCGTAACCCCTTTTTTTGGCAACGGAATATACATTATGTATGCTGGAGAACAATCCAATCAAAACGGTGTATTAACAAACCTCTTTGATACAAAAAAACCGTAGCAGTTCCTAATAGCTACCTATTGTGACAATTACTACCTAAGGGACACCCCTCGCACTTCAAAACACATTCGTCTTTGCTCGTTAATACCTGGTATTTCCAATTTTGTGCATCATGGGGTCCACATCCCTCAGCTCGAAATGTAGCACCACTAAAATCTAAACATAAATCTTTAATTCTTATCTGCATAGCTTCGGTATAATCCCATTGCTAAAATATACAATCAAGGTATTGGTAAAAAGGAAACACACAGAAGAATTTGTTGCTTTACTACAGACCAGTAAGATTTGACTACTTTTGTATAGGTGTGAAACAATTTCACTTTCTACCATGTTTCAATTTAGCAGGCATACTTTTCAAACCTGCCAAACAACACACTTGCAAGAAACAATTTTAGTATGTACAAATACTTCAGTATCTGCGGACAAAGTTGAAATTGAAAAAAAGTTGAACTTTGAAGATGACCTCTCTATTGGATCCACCCTTTACCTACTCACCTGACTTTCATTACTGTGGCAGGGGTATGGTATTATTGGCTCACTGCGTTTTAATTTAGCGCCATCTATACATAAATTAGGATCTGCTACACTTTGTATCTGTAAATACACATAGTGGACATGCTGAGGGTGCCGGACCATCGGACACGGTATCAGGAACCAGGGGTGTCAGACTGTCAGGGGCCCCACGACTTTGATTACAAAAAATAGCTTTTTGGAGAAATTTTTATATCTCTAAGATTTCATATAAAAAAATAATAAACTAAATACGCCGAGATGAAATTAATATGGATAATAACATTTCTATCGTTGTCATATTCATTTATTTTATAAGCAAATATTTTGATTATGACTTAAGCAGCATTGTTTCACATTAACAAACTTATATTACAAGTAAAATCGTTTCGCATTAGCTTACTTGAATAATAAGCCGCATAGTAAACGTATATTTTTTAGAAAAGCATAATAGTTTCAGTAAAACTATATTATAAGCAGCACAGTTCCACATTCATGGCAAACGTAAGCAAACTTTATATTTCAAGCAGCATAGTTTCACATGAGTAAACTTTTATCATTAATATCATAGTTGCGCTGCACATAAGAAGCATAGTTTCACGTAAGCATACTTATACAGAATTAGACTTAAGCATAATTATTACATTAGGTCTTTAAGCTGGCGAATTTATATTTGCCATTTAACCACCGAAGTTTTATATTAGCAAACTTACTTTATAAGTCACATAGATTAACAGTAATATACTTACGTTTCCATAATGTACACCACTACCAGGAAAATACATTTCAGGAAAAATATTTCTTCTATACCATTCAAAATCATTACACTGTAATTTTTCACGTAACTTTACTCTTTCAGAAATATCACCAAAAGGCTGCAAAATTGAATCGTCCCTTTGAAACAATAGCTCGACAACTCTGGCCAGTTCCAAATCCTCCTTAACATCACATCCGTATATTATCACGTCTTAGGAACGTTAAAAACTGTGATGCTGTTATATCGCACTAAACGTGCAAGTTATGTTATGATGTATGTTTTAATTGGTCGAGTTTTTTTTAGTTTGAAAAATGATCTGTTTTTAAAATGTAGTTTATTAAAGACAGATGGCCTACTCACATCAATGTTTCCTTTTTGATTGATAAATTTATACTTATAATCATCAAACCAAACATTGGCCACTCTTCCAAGATTTCGTAACATAACGTGATAACCACCAACATATGGCAACCTAGCCTTAAAGATGTGAGCAACGTGTGAGCACGGTGATATCAGTATACTGCCCCCACACATCCAAATCTACAATCGTAGAAAAACGTTTATATTTCAATATATTTGCGCTTCATATTTGTGGTCTGAATTCAGGCTCAGACGAGAGTAACTGCCCTTTGACTCTACTCGTCTACAAGAGATTACAAAATGTGTATTTTTGTCCGCACCACTAATCGTATGTTATTGCATTTCATATGTAGAAAACTTTTGGCCACAATCCCCTCTCCCGTCTCAACTTTCATTCAAATCATATTACATTAACCTTTTGAAATCTCAAATAGAAGGACGTACCTTAACAGATATTTCGATATTCTCACCACCCCAAATATCTAACTGGTTATCATAAGTACCAATATGATTGAAAAATACTTTACTGATGCTGAATAATCCTCCTGCCATTGTCGGCGACCTGAAATGTATCATATTACATGACGGGCGGACTAAGGAGCTATGGGCCCTCGGACTATGTTTTCTAACCTCTTCTAGCTTTTACTTGCACATCTTCAAGATGGTTAAGGTATTGCGCTCTTCGTCTTACACCTTGACTACAATACTATTATACTACTATAGCCACAATCACGGAATACATTGGATTGGATTGTATGCCAGCGAACAATGACTACTGCATTCAAGGTATTGTGAAGATGCTACTTGCACTGTAAGGGCCAAAAGATAATTTCAGATACATGCAATTCCTTTCCTATACAATAATTAGAAATTTCGGATAACCAAAAACTAAAATAGCATTTTTTATTTCAGTAGCTATCTTGCGCCAAAAAAAATGGTTCGAAGTTTCTCCCGTCAATACGTGCCGGTACACCATCTGTACATCACGTCAGAGGAACGGGCACTTTACAGGACCACATAATGAGTGCTAGGTGTATACCTACTGAATGTAGTCTGCAGGAGAGGACCGATCTCTGTCAATTCTTTCTGGTGTTTTCATCCAGGAAAATCGAAGTATTGGAAATGTAAAGATACCAACTTGTTCAAGTCTATCAGTATTCACAGCAAACGTTTTAGAATCTATAGTATTTATAGTTGGCATGGTAACCGTTCTTGGATTTTTCATGATTGGTTCCAACAATGGCTCCAACCACCCTGAAAAAAATTAACAATATTTTTCATTCTTGTATAAACTGCTTCAAATTTCAAGTACATAAAAGATGACACGCGAGAAGGTGCAGATGTATATTTTAAAGATTTCTGACCTCCATTTTCATCATTTTCGAGTGAACAGCGTTAGAGTAGTCGCTATTGACGTAAAAAATTGACTTATTGACGTTAGTTTGTACACTTGATCTAATTGACACGAAACTTTGAAAGAATATTGTGGGCCTATATTGAGTGAGTTCGATTTCAGACGAACACAGCTTCTGACGTGCGATGCATAAAAACTGTACAGTTCTGATAAAAGTAACTTCATGTGATTTTTTTACCTTTTGTTTCAGAACATTAATTTTGCCCATTTAACATATTTGCATATATGCACAGTTATACCTCGTCCCAAATTAATGATCCTTGCTATATTACATTCGGTCAGCCTTTATTATGATTTACATTTTCTTTATGTCAATTCTTCGATTGTAAATGGACTATTGGTCTTTTTCATCACATTTTATTATAAAAAATGGGCCTCAAAATATATAGTGTTTTGGAATAAAAAGTTGGTATGTAAATGGGAATAAATGTGACTTAAACAATTCAACCCACTAATCAGAACGATGTTAACCATCCATCTCACTGGCTTTACTGTCTGTTTGATTGCTTCAAATACTAAACCTAGTTAAAAAAAAATTTATTCTGATTGGATGAATATTCAAACAAACCAATCAAACGTTCAGTATTTTAAACCAGAATCGGTCTCCATAAAAATCAAACAGGCCTTTTGAACACTTATCTTTGTCATTCGATCTTCAGTACTATAGTGAACTCTTTTCACCTATTCTGTTGTTACAACAGATTCAAATTTTTTCTTCACCGCGCATGTAGTACCATTGAAATCTCAGCAGAAGTTCAAAATAAGAAAATTTTGGGGTAGGTTTTAATGATTTTATTTTATTGACTTTAAATCAAACCATTATAATTCAATTTCGGAAAAATTCATTTGTTCAGTTGAGCATTATGTCTACGTCTTAGAATTAACATAAAATTTAAGAATTTTAAACATGGCGAATAAGAGCCAGAAGATATACCTGGTGTCATAAATAACATAACAGGATCCTTATATAATCCGATAAATCCAAAAAACTTAGTAATTATCCATAAATATGCAATTAACTATTGAAAAACGCTTAATATCAAGATTAAGCGTTTTTCAATAATTACTTAGTTTTATGAATTTTCCAGATTTTACAAGGATTCTGTTGTAATTTCATCCACCAGGTAAGTTCACTGATGAATATATACTCATATTGACCATTTCGAGAATTTTATGTTCATTCTAAGACGTAGTATCACTTTAATGAGCTTCAACAATTACTGTATTCTGTACCCAATAACACAAATTATTTAGTATGGGAGCAGATTTGTATGATGTGGAACTATTCATTTGACATAAATCTTCACATTTCCCTTATAATCTATTACATGGCGTTATTGGTCATTATAAGTCCAATAAGCAACAGAGTTTGATGTCGGATGTCACTTTTTAAGTACATGATCTAAATATTCTCTTTCCATATCAACTCAAATGTAACGTAACAAAAAGTTTACGAAGAAGATAAGTTGATAATTCGGGTCATGAAAAATACAATGGAAAATAAAGAATGTTGAAAAACTACTATCAATAGGAAATTATCGTAAGTTTGCTCTTATTCTCATCATTCGAGGAATCTTCTGACATGCGTATTGACATTGTGTAGATCAGGCGGACGTAAAACTCAAATGCCCAAATATTGCCATAGGTTTAATAGCTCTTCCAAGTCTTATTTATTGCTATTAATAGAGGATTTTCACTATCAGAAATCGTTGGAACAATTGATGCTTTAAGTTTCCTAATACAGATACAATCTCTCGAAAACTTCTTTACAATGTAAGGCTTAGTAAATTTATTTTTATTTTCAGTGATCGTAACCAACCATCTGTTGTCACCAAGATCAGATATCAAAGATAATCTGACATTGTTCTCAGGTTGTAAACCCACAATTCTACAAAACAAACAGAATTCCAGAAAGTAGAGATTCAGGTAAGTGTTGAAATCGTATTATTTTCTAACAAAATAAACTATATTCTAAACCCAATACATTATACATATCCGGAACCCAATAATACAAAATATTTTCAATTTTAATAACTTTAGGATCAATGGAGCAGAAACGATGAACAGAACTGTACATTGCAATCATAACTTGGCATAAAAAATATCTAATTAAACTTATGACTTAAAATTCTTGACAAAGAAAAGATTTCTTCATTCTGAATATATTAACTATTATATACAAATGACAATGATTTGTAACTGGTGTTTGATTATGACTAGAGTTGAAAACGAAATCGATATGTGCACCTCATTCCTTTGCTGGTTGTATTTCAAAATAATACTGAGAATGAGGCAAAAAGACCAGACCTTTCTGAAACGGTTTTGTGATCCAAGAAAGACAAACTTTTCTATTGGATTAATAAAGACAAACTTTTCTGTTGGTTTTATGATACAAAAAAGACAAACTTTTCAATTAAATTAATAAAGACAAACTCTTCTGATGTTTTTGTTATACAAGAAAGACAATATTTGCTGGGATGGTTTTGTTGTACAAGACAAACTTTTCTAGGATGGTTTTTGTTATAGAATGAAGACAATTTTTTCTGGGATGGTTTTGTTATACAAGACAAACTTTTCTAGGATGGTTTTTGTTATAAAAGAAATTCATATTTTTCTAGGATGGTTTTGTTGTACAAGACAAACTTTTCTAGCATTGTTTTTGTTGTACAAGAAAGACAACTTTTTCTGGGATGGTTTTGTTAGACAAGACAAACTTTTCTAAGATGGTTTTTGTTATACAAGAAAGGCAACCTTTTCTTGAATGGTTTTGTTGTACAAGACAAACTTTTCTAGGCTGGTTTTTGTTATACAAGAAAGACAAATTTTTCTGGGATGGTTTTGTTGTACAAGACAAACTTTTCTAGGATGGTTTTTGTTATAAAATGAAGACAATTTTTTCTGGGATAGTTTTGTTATACAAGACAAACTTTTCTAGGATGGTTTTTGTTATAAAATGAAAAGACAAACTTTTCTAGGATGGTTTTTGTTATAAAAGAAATTTATATTTTTCTAGGATGGTTTTGTTATACAAGACAAACTTTTAGCGGTTTAGCTGTCCGGATCGTTAGTCCTTGGTTATTCATTATGACTTTTCGCTCCATTCGCCAATGTTAGTTTCCATGAGTTGAACATCGAAGCTGACATATTGGCAAGAGCAGATAACTCTGCGTAGATTGATTTTGATTGACCGGGTAAAAATCACTACGCTATTCCAGCCAATCACTGTAAATAAAATAACCTTGAGACGGAATAGTTTTCATTTTCAAATAATTATGCCATTCAAGTAACAATATTTTACGAATAATTACTGGATGTTTTATAATGGTATATGTGAAATATAAATTATGCAGTAACCACATAATAAATAAATATTCACAAACTTGATAACATACTTTGTTATTATAGCTCTGATATTAAAAATAAACATCGCATCATTTGATCGGAAACAGCTGAACTAGTTTAGTTTCAATATGGTGATATCCGTTCAATATACGAGGTAATTTGCAGCATTTAGTCCCGAAGTCCTGCTATCAGAACTCAGCTATATAAGTGCTTTTGGGTTAAAGGCCATGTTCATTCGATAGTACATACATTGCCTACGTCACTACGCTGCAGGTCTTTTCCAAGTGGTTTTTGTAAGCGGAATATTTTGTCTTCGAATTTACGTAACCTTTTAATAAGATTTTTAGGTGTAAGATTTCTGGAAATACCTCGTTTGATTGGCCAATTTCTATTGTATTTAGATCATTTTAATCAACGAGAAATATGTCTAGTAATCAAATTCATTTAACAATGAAGTTACAACTCAAAAGAAATATTTGTATTAGCCTATTTTCAAACCATTTGCTCAATTAAAAGAATGCTCTTTAAAAATGTTTTCCCAAAATTATTACAGTCTCAATTAAATTTTTGCAAATGCTTTTCACAGACTGCTGCACGTTAAACAATATAGAAGCTCATTTAATCGCTCATTCGTTCATGCATTCTGTCTGTCTGTCTGTCCAGTGACAGAATGAAGTGAGAAGTTTGAAATGGACAGGAGAGGGTATAGTTACACTAGATCAGAGTTTGAGATACATGAGACTCTTTCCTTCGATTTCCAATATATAACATTGAAAATGATAATCCTTGATACCAATCTTTTTGGTTTGTCTTGAAGATTTCAGTTCGCTTGAATTGTAAGATGGGGTCTTAAATTTTGTATGAGTAATGACTTTAGACTAGATGGTTTTTTGATGTAGTTGACATTTGAATGGAAACGAAACCATTGTACAACCCTTTTTTCACAATTAAAAAAGAACAATGCTTTTTGTGATGTTCACTATTACTGATATACAAAGTATTCAAAAGTGTAACCAAATCTCTATTTTTTTGGTCAATGATGACTGAAGGGAAGAAAGTAGATTCTGGTTGAGATTAAACCAGGCAGGTGTGCGGACTAAGTCTTAGTCTGCGATATCTAGGGCAGTCTATAAGGATCATAATATAACGAAAATAGAGCCCAAAAGTGGCATAGGAGCTAAGTCAACAAGCTCCGGGTTTTGGTATCTAGAGATGGTCAATTAGACCTCCTGGCCTTGATCTTTGAAGTAAGCAACATCATATAAATATATATTGCTGATTAGCAATTGGTTCCACTACCTGGGACGTAGTCCTGAAAGCTGTACACCTCCCTTCAGGTTCTCCTACCTTGGACGTTGTCCTGAAAGTCGAGCTACTTCAAATCCTAGTTGACCGCATCTAATCCCGCTGTATTCGTGTCCGAAAGTTGAAAATATTATCACCAAGTTGTTTTTAGAGGTTCTTATCTAAATTTCCGGAACGGAATAGACAGGACTGGCAACTTGGTTTATATCTTGAATGTCTTCCCTTCACTTGGTTACACATTGCAAATTATCATTATCAACTTTGTCAATTATTTTGCCAGCTTAAACATTCAAAGCTGTTAATATATTGAAATAGTCTTCTTGCAATGCTTTCGTAAAACTGTAAAAATGAATCCACTATACTTTACAATCCGGTGCCTTAAAGCATGTGTCTTAGAGAAATTCAGTCTCGGTTACAGAAAACTCTGATTTTAGGATTCAAATTAACTCTTTTCTATAAGACAAACTAAATTCATTGGTATAAAGGATTTATCTTTATCATTATTGTATGAAGGAATATCTAAGGTCTGATTTTGGTCTGTCTCAATTTCTTCTACTGTAAATATACTTTCTCCCTTCTTATTTCTAACTTCTTATTTCATTCATTCATGGATAGATAGAAATAAGATTGAAAAGTTAAAGAAATGAAAATATAGAAATTTTTTCCATGTTGTATTTTGCAACGATACAAAACATGTTGTTTGACTTGTTGAAATCCATTTTCTCACTTATAGATAAAATAAAAAAAAACTTTAAGATAATTGTTTAAGCGCATGTGCAAAAAAAAGTTCAATATTGCCTTAAAATTTAGAATTTAATAATATAGCCTACATACATACCAAGTTTGATGAAATAAGAAAGAAAGAAATTAGATAATTTCCTGCATATCACCAATAAGAAAGTGGGTCAATTAAGCCGTGGGCGTGGTTTCAGTGTGTTTCAGTAAGTTCAATTTAAGCATGATACCTTTAAATACATCCTAGATCGTCTTCATATGTCACATAGACTTGTTGCATATCACTTGAATGCTCTCAGCATTATGAATTATTGCCCTATCCCTATTATGGCACTGCATCTGTTGCGGTTTGACCCTTAAGGTCAAAAGGTCAATGCCACCTTTTATCAACATGGTAAATATGGAGGTCATAAGATATAAGTCTCCAAACTTAAAAAAAAAAATAACGTCCGGTTATACAAAAAGGGCAAAACCCTTCGATCTGTCAAAAAGCAAGAAGTAGAATATTTCTATCAACTTGGCAAAAAGAAGTATCGAACGGCTATCATTTTTCTTTTGTTACAAGAAATATGACAAAGAAAACGGTCGATAAATACGCCCTCTAATGTCCATTTTCTCTTTGTTGCTTAATGTTGCTCAGAAATTGTCCGTTTAGAAGTACCTGTTACGGTTCTTGAGAAAACAGGCCTGCCGTAGAAGAAAAAGAAAAATTATCATTACGAAAACAAAAAATATAACATCCAGAGATTTAGTGTATAATTATACGACAAGCGTGATGAGTTTGTTTTTCCTTTTATGTGCAGCAACATTCTGCATGACCCAATCGAAAAATATAACATGTTTGTTTCTGCTATCATCCCAGGTGTTTTTCGTGTTACGTAGGTCCCTTGCATGCTGTCATCGCAATTAGCAATGACAGGTCTGCTTGAGGCTGCTTTTCATTATAAAATTGTTGAGGGTGGGGGTGTTTGTAACATTTTTCTTATATATACCTTCTGTGATCAGTTCCCACCCTTCTATTATTAGAATGGACTCACTCCACTAATTTGCCAACTATTGTTAAAACACAAAATTCAACCTTCTACAACTTTTTCCAGAAATCTCGTTGAAAGCTTTCCACTTTGTCGATTAAAAGATCCTTAATGTCTTGTAAAAAATTCAATATATGATGACATTAAATTCCAAATCTGGAACAAAAATTACTCAATAATAGGCATGTAAAAACCCCAAAAGGGAGAGAGAAAGAAGACTTCTAAAAATAGCCCGGATTTCTAAAAAATACCCTGGACTACATTCGTATAACATCATTACCATAAAATGTTTTAGTGGAGGAGTCCTGAATTGAATTAAATTTACATCAGTTACCTCCCTTGAATTATTAAAATTGGCGGTCAATCACTGCTTTTGGGGCTTTTTGTTTGCTTTTGGCTTCCTGATGTGTTTGTTGTGTATGTTTAGCAACAATGACGGGTGTGGCGACAGGTCGTCTATGCTTACTCTTCTAGAAACATAATACACTTTTCATTATGAATCATAATAATCAGTGGCGTAGGCCTAACCAGAGAGTGGGTTTAATGGACTTCAGTAGCCTACTATGTTTGCTTGAAAAGAGGTTTGAATTTGAGGTACATGTGATCTGCATCGTCATCATCAATGTAATCCAAAAGAAAAACAATGGTATAGATCGAAGCCATCTGTTGGCAACAGATCGATCTGGGAGACAGTTGGACGTCCAAACATTCCGTAAACCCACGATATAGATATGAAGTTGAAACTTTTATTGTTTTTCATTTTGCTGTATTTTTTTTTTATCTTGCATTTTGCTGTATTAACAGTAAACATATCACAGTTTATTATCATGTTTAGAATAGGATACAATAATGATGCAATTAGTATTAAGTCATATCGACTCTAGTCTTATGAAGTGGCGCATGATTTAGTCTAAATGCAATATTCATTGAAAATAACAAATAATTTACAAAATAGTACATTTCAAATCCCCCCCCCCCACCCCTTCGCAAATGATTATAATTGATATCTGATTGAAAAGTTCATAAGCTGCTGTTTCGTCAATATGTTGATTTTGATTTAGGGTGAAATAAATTGCAAGGACTTTTGGCTTGTTTTAATGTTTCTAAACATAAAGAAGTATATAGG